GATTATATAAGTATTTTATATTATATTTGTGTAAAAAAATTTATTTTTAGTCCGCCAATTCCAAATTATCCCGTTCTAATTTATGTTGTAAAAACCCTTTCCCAAATTATCCCATTTATTAAAATACCACTAAGCATATCTAGTAATTAAAACGTACGTGTATTTTATATTTGTGTTAAAAATTATTTATTTTAGTTGAACATTTCCAGATGATCTCATTTCAATTCATCTTGTAATAAACCCTTCCCAAATGACCCCGTTTATTGAACTATGTTGAGCATATTTCAATTACATTTTCAGAATTAAACTGTTTGAGACTCCATCTCTCTTTTTATATGTAATTTTTTTTATGTCTCATGTTTTGGAAAATATCTCAATTACATTTTTTTAAATTAATCTGATTGAAACACCAGCTCTCCTTATATATATATATATATATATATATATATATATATATATATATATAGTAATGCATAGGAATGAGCACTAAAGTACTGTCCAAGTTATTGAGTTTCAAAAAAAAAAATAAAAAAATCTTTGCCTTATTTGAAGGCTCTCCTATCAATTGATGAGTTAACATGCCCTTACATCATATCCCATAAACCAATATATACGTATAAATGTCATCATTAACACTATTTTTTAACTTTTAAAAAACATATAAATCTTCTACGTTATCACCATTACTTACATTAAGAAGTGTCCTTTTGTTGTTGATAAAAAAAAATTGAAAAAGTGACATGGTTGATAGTCCCGCAATACGTTATCAACTCAAGAGACAACACGTGAAGAATAATTGATATTATTTTTTCCCGTATAACGAACATAATTGTTGTTGTTGCAAATCATGCAACCCAAATCAATCGCTGCAATAGATGAAATTAGCCTACGTATTCCATGAGTTGAAAGTTTTTACTCAAACATAAAGAAAAAAATAAAAGAGAATAAATGAGAGTAAGATATCAAGGTTAATACCTCCGATAGGGCAGAGGGTGTGTCGATAGCAAAATAGTGATGGGGATGACTATATCGGAGCGACGCTAGGGGCAAAAGAGAAAATTTGAGATGCGGAAGAAATCGATTTACTTTAGTCAATATTTTACATTCATCTTATTTACAGAGGAAAAGAAGCGTATTTAAGATAAGCATATAATTAATTAATGTAATACTTTATATGTTATCATTGTCATATTTGATTTAGAAGATTAATTGTAGGGTATTAGAGAAGATTAGAGATTTGTAAGATCTGATTCTGATATATATTTCTGAATTTAAAATATTTGAAATTTTAAAATACCACAAAATATGCTAATTGATTACGTCAGCCGCGCAGATGTGGGGCGTGGTTTTAGGATTTAGCCGATAATGATCATATTATTTATTTTTTCTGAAATAATGAAGTAAAATATTTAAAAATAAATTTTGGATAAACGGATTTACTAAATTACTTTAACCATTTAATAAAACTCAAATGGGAAGGCAACACGCGTCCCGAAAATCTATGGATGGTCTTCTTGGCTTGGATTAAGACCTAAACTCCACTTTCCTTTAATATATTTAGAGATATATGATTCATATTACAATATTAATTTACTAATTAATGAAAATATTTGTTCCTTATTTAGATTAATCATGATCAGAATTTGTGATTTTCTGAATAATTACCTTATTTAGCAATAAAATCCATTATATGATACAATAAATAACGTATAGTAAAAGAATTTCACAATCAATGATGGTTACAAATTTAATTTAACCAAATTATGAATATTTTTTACTTTTTAATAAAAGACCAAATCGGAAAAACTTGCAAATTCAAAGCCATGCTTCTCACCGAATCGAAAATTATCAATATCTTCACAATCTCTCATCTGTGTTCGCCAAATAAAGTTAATTATGTACGGATGTTTACAGACGGTGCAAGCTTCTGAGATTTGTTCTTCAGAGTACATGAAAATTTGAAAATCTCCTTGCACTTCCCCTCAACGATGGAGTTGATAAATCGGGGATCATCTCCTTTTTTATTTCCCTATAAGACGAAAACATAACACAATAAGATTAGTTAACATAATTGTCAAATTAAAAAATAACTTTTCGAAAATTATTCTTCAATATCAACAAAAAAAAAAGTCCATCCATCAAAAGTATTTCCAAAGCAACAATTTAATCATCATCGTTGATGAGGGGCTTCTCCTTAACTCGTAAAATTCGTACCTTAATATTCCAACCGCAGTCGGTTGAATCATCAAGTTTAGTTTAGAGGACAAGTGATAGTGGCATTAATTTTTCGAAAGTTAGATTTACAAAAATTTGCTCATCCAATTCATGTATTTATAAGATGTAGAGACAGTGGCCAATTAGGGTTTAAAATGTGATAAAAATTATGTGAACAAAATCACAACGAATCATTGCTTTAAAATTGACGATCATAATACAAGAGTATAAGATATATACATTATATAGAACACACACAATAATAATATGGATTTATTAAATATTTACCTTATTTAGAATAAGCTTACGTATAGATTTAATAATAACGCGAAGTGAAAATATGGATGGTTATTAATTTAATTTAACCAAGTTACAATTATTTTTTTATATTTTAATGAAGGACCAATAAATTTATTCCATATGGCACAATATTCCTACATTCACTGTACGTTTTGATTGAAAACCTTACTTTAATATATACTAGTGTTTATCCCACACGTTGTGCGGGTTGTTCGAGATATACATGAGTTTAATGATTTGTCTATTATATGACATTTTCGATGGAGTGATATATGTAAAAAAAAAATACTATTAATGATAAAATTTACTTTGTTGTAATTTTGATGTCAATTTGTTTTGTTATTTAAGTATATTTGGAATAACTTTCAATATTTAAAATTATCCAATGTAACTTATTATCCATCTTTTTTGTTTTGTTTCTTTATGGATTTATATTTTTTCAAAGTAGTCACTTAATTTTTCATAGTGATCCTCCTAAATATTTATACTCGTGTCATATAAACTTTCCCTCTAACATTTCTTATTATTTCTTTCCATAAACTTATCTTTATTTTGCATCTCTCTATATATCTTTTACAATCTTTTTTAGAAGTTCATTCGTATATTTTCCTTTAACATAATGCTTTCTTCATCATTTTTCATGGGTGCATAGTCTTCACTTTTTTTTTTCCCTCTAAATTTGATTACTTTTCTTTAAAGGTTCATTTCTTAAAATTATTAAAATTGTTTAATTTTCACTATTATCTTGATTTATTTTTTCATATTTTTTTATTCTCTTCATATTTTTTCCATATAATTATTTTTATTAATTTCTCATATACTTTTCTTCTATCGTTTGTCTGTCATAGAAGCCTTTATTCTTTTTATTATTATTATTTTGGAAAACTTTCTTCCCGTTCACCTCTACATTTTGTTTTACCCCATAACATCAACTTTTTTTTTAACTATTATATCATATGAAAAAAATAAAATGAATATCGTATATTATTATATTAATTTAATAATATATTATATATAATATAATGTATTATTATATTATTAAAATTTGACAGATTAATATATAATTATATTATTATTATTATTTTATGTGTTTTCTCTTATAATTTGACACAACGTAATCATTTATTAGGATTAAATGTTAAGGAGTAAAAAAAATTACCATGAAAAAAATTTACAATCGCAGCATCACCAACTGAAATAAAAACTAATACACTAACCATTAAAAAAAATCTAATTAATAATTGTACTTTACCATATAATTAACAATAAAAATCAATATTGACCCGTTAATTAATTTTTCTAATCATGACCGTTGTTTTTTTAATTTTTTTTTTTTTGTTCTATCAGCCATAAAAAATAAGAGAAAAAGATTTTGGGAAGTGTATTTGAATCAACGTAATGTTCATATATTTAAACAACAAAACGAAGCACCACTAATAATATATGCTATTTTTTATGAAATTAATATAGGTAATGATTGTTGGAGCTATTTTTATCCAAAGTAAAAATAAATTTTCTTTTAAAAATTGCCCTCATGAGTCAAGAACTTGCTCTTCCTCGTTAGTAGTTGTTTCATTTTTGAATTGAAACAACCGATTCATTCAATATTCTAATTACACCATTTGACGTCTAGTTTGAAAGAACGAATTGCTAAAGTCTTTCATCAATAGAGCTAGAATCTTAATTAAGCTAAACAAATTCTAGAATTTTAAGATTGGACATAAAATAGAACAGTTCTTCTAGCAATTTTATTGCTTACTTGTGGCTTGAAAATAATAAAAAAAAAATCTTGTTTCTCTTTATAACTAAAATGACTCATTTTCATGTCAATTTCGGAATTAAAGAAATCATAATTCTAATTTTGGTAAGCTATATCCTATGGCAGCCGTCGTTTTTTTGTTGATGAAGTATGTTTTTCCCTTTTTGTTTTTTAAGTTAGTTTAGTCTTTTTTTTTTTTACCATTTTAAATTAAAAATTACAATTAAATGATGAAGCAATATGGTTGCGATATGTGGATTTGATTCTCTAATTATTCGCCACGTGGATAAACTTATCTAATTTTGCGCCATGTGTTCGATTAAAAACTCTCTTTTAATATATAATATATATATATATATATATATATATATTCTATCACTTATAACTTGCACGAATTGTCTTGGTAGGCTTGCAAACGCTTGGAAAGGCCTTTCTTATTTAGTTAAAAAAGGTGATTTTTTTTGTTGTGTAAATTCGTAAAACTTCCTTTCACCTAATTTGTCCCCAATTGAGCGGAAGATTTTAGGAGGATTACTTGATTTTCGAGGGTGATTACCTTTTTTGGGCTTCGAAATGGCTTCCAAATTACAAAAAAAAAAAAAAAAAAAAAGAGAAAAAAGAAAAAAAGAGAAAAAAAAAAGAAAAGAAAAAGAAATGAGTCTGTTTGAGGGCTGCTCAGAAATGAAAAAGAAATCAGTCTGTAAAAAAAAAAGTGTGTAAGAAATGAACCAATCAAGTAAATTTTCAACATTTTATCAGGTTAGAAATGAACTAGTCAAGTAAATTTTCAACATTTTATTGAACCAGTTTTCAACTCCACACTAAGAAATGAATATTCTAACCTGATAAATTTGAATCAAAATTTTACCATTAAACAAAAAAACAAGTGCTACAAATTGCCTTCATGCTCAGGCTGTCATTTTTCTTTAAAACCCCGCTTAGAGGCTCAGAGTAATTCTTAATATTCATATTACTAGTTTTTTTCTTCAATCACTGGTGCAAAGAAACTATTTGATGGTCAATGAGCACCTCTTTCCTTCGTACCGGAGAGAACAAAATCTCAAGCGAGCCATACAACCAAACTCATATCATGGGGGTATCAACTGGATGGATCACCGGCGATTATCCAAACAAGCTTATTGTAGGTTAAACATTTGTATAGGGAAGTTGCGTTTTCTGCCATCAGGTCCAATTGCAAAAATCTCCATGGAAATATCAATGGTGCGATGCTCTAGCCCACGGACAATGCTGATACGAGACTGTATTCTCAAAGCTGGACATGCATCAGAACCAACTTCCCCATTTTTGTCATCAACCTGCTCTCCCAGTGCCATCATAATTGGTTCTTTAAATGTCAGTACTGTCTGGGACCAGTGAGTTTTAGTGGTGTAAGGGGATGTCGACATATTGGTTGGCATTTCCTTACAGAACCTCTGAGTAAATCCAGTGTCAAACCACAATACAAGTCCATGACATGGAACTGATCTTGGTTTCAAGTCTTTAGAGCAGGTAAGGGGACTGTCCGTCCTTGGAGCCAATTCTACTGTTGCTGTAAAATCCATATCCTCATACTTCATTGTCACCAGATCAAACGTCTGAATTACCGCATAAGATGATTTTAAATAAACTCATCAGGCCATTAGTAACACTAGACATAACCAGATGACACTTCACACAAGATATTGGCTATAAAGATAAAAGAGATGAAAGGGGAAATCTTAAGTTGATTCGATATAATGCTAAAATTAGAGGAAATTCTATTTTCAATATAGAACATAGGTATCGCCCAAGTGCATCATTCCAGAAATTTTAAGCAAAATTATCAAATTAAAAGCAACCAGGCTTACAGACAAACCAACCCAGAAATATGGCCTGGGCAGAAAATGAAGCAACAAAAATTATACTCCCAACATATAAAAGAAATGCAATACCATAGGAAAACTTAGGAAAGAAAGAAAGAAAGAAAGAAAGAAATGCACCTGAAGAACTTGGGTGTTTGTAACAATATCACGACTGTCAATTGTATCAACCACTGGAAGCTGAGCCACTTCTTCAACAACTTCCTTTCCAATACAAGACATATTGAAACCATACACATTTTCCCAAAATGGAAGACAGGTGCCACCCTTTCCAAATCCAGCAACAAACTACAGCAGACAAATGATTGAAGAAGTCAAAACCCGAAGTCAAATGACAGAAGCATGCATTCAATTCAAACTATTAGAATAAGCATTTAGGGCTCACCATGGTGGCACTATCTGGAAGAATGGCCCCACCAGGCTTCAACCATTTATCCCTTGCAAAAAGAACGGAGCTTAGCATTGACTCATAGAGCAGACAATAACCCATCCATTCACTCACTATTACATCCACACTGTGGGGTTCAATATATTTCGCACTGTCTAGATCTTCAATCATACTCTGAATAACCTCTATTGTTCCACTGTGGTGATTCTTATCCCCATCTGTGCCTCCACTCCTTAGGAGGCCATTATCCTTTGCAATCTGAATCAGAGCCACAAGAGAGGAAAAATAGGAAGCGCCTATTGATTACTCAAACCATATTCGAAACAGAATTTCAACTAGAAGTTAACTACATGGAAGAAGGCTAACCTGAGTGGCTATCGAAGCCATTTTGTTACTGGCTTCAACTGCAATAACCCTTGATGCACCAGCTTGGGATGCAAACAGACTAACAAATATGAAAAACTAAGCATTAATTTTTGAACTCAATATTTTCCCTAAAGATGGAAACTAAAAGTTTTAAGAGAAACAAAAAAAAGGTCATACCAAATTTCAGGGAATATTTGATGCAACAAACAACTATTAACCCTTGGTCGTGCAATGTGGCATCTACTATATGGATCATCCCCATATTGTTGTATTAATACATGTTCACAATTATGATTCAATCATCTTTTTTTTTCTTCTTTTTTCTTTTTTAATTGTTTATTTCCAATTCCTTTTAGGTCTTCCTCTTCACTTTAATTTGAGACAACAAAAGTTTTTACAAGGATTAATATGTCATCTAAATGTCTCCTATACACAGAGTTTTCCTAAGTTTTCCCAAGCTTCATCCAAGTTCATTCAATGGATTGGACACCTCCAAATGCTAACATAACCCATGCAAAATGCCGAGCTACTAGCTTGTACATACTGGATGTCAAAGGGTTGAGCCTCCCTTTGAACAAGAAGAAATCATCCAAGGAGACTTCAGCCTTTGGGTTTCAAACAATTATATCTTTACATTTTGTCCCAAACAATTATATCTTTACATTCTGTCCTAATTGCCGGTATGTTTTTGGATGAAGTTTCTGCAGGATGAAAATGTCTAATTTGAATCTTCAATTCTTCCTTCTCGGATTACATTAGTTTCATTCATTCTATATCCAGCAATTGAGAGGAAACCATGTCGTTGAATTGGCAAATTAACATCATTGAATGGAAAGCTATGGTTCTTGGGTTAATGGAATGGTTAGGCACTTCAGACTTGATATTAGCTTTCAGACGTTAGTCGCCCACATAAACAGATAGGTGGATGCTAGTTTCATTTTACTTCCATCAAAACAATTTCATAAGCAAATAGCTAGTCACGCAATCGAGTAACAGGGCCAATCAAATTGCATTCACAGAGGTGAGAGCAGGGAAGGGTAGGGGGGAAGGCAAGGCATCCTACTTAAGATGGAAGACAGGAAATCGTAATCTAAAAAGTCATTGTGGAGTGCTCTTATCCATCACTGTTTTTTGTTTGAACAATGTTATTGTTGTCTTGCCCCCTTTTATACTTAATTAAATCCCCTAATTCAGTTCCATGAATGCCGGCTTTGTTCTAGTGTTAACAAGAAATTCAAGAATCAAGATACTATCCACCATGCATTTCATAGAAATAAGTGAAGTGACAGCAAATTAGCATCATTGTAGCACAAACGACCCATCAATCCAGGATTACCATTATTCAAAATTACATTCACGATCATAGTCTTTTGATGGTGGATCGGTAAATAATAGATAATTCAGCATTAGTAATAATAAGCAGAAGGTTCATATCTCCCGTAGACCACGACATTCTGCAGAGAGTTTAGAGTCCCAAATTGTTCTAGTTCCAAGTACGAGAATTTAGCTCCCAAGTATAACCTTTTAGGGAGATTCTATATTATAATTATAAGAATAAGCTACAACGTTTTCTTCCAGAGATCAACTAATAAGAATTTTATTTAATTTAATCATCTTTTGGTAATTCTTGAACAGCTTTCTCACTCCCTGGATCCCTTATACATTGGACTCAAGTGCAAATTCCAGGTCTCAACAGAAGACTGGATGGGGTCTATGTGCATTTTATCTAAATGTCCCTAGATTCCTATTACCACCTACAGGGTCTTGGAATCCAATAGTTTAACCAGAAAGCTCACAAGACAGATACCTACACTGATAAATTCCATTACGCAAATGTTTTACATCTACTCATTTAACACTAACAGATACTATTTTACCATGTGCTGTAATGTAGCCCTAATTATTTGCAATAAAAATGTGGACTAGAGATTTCCAGTGTCAACATAGAACGAATTAACATACTCAGCACATAGGTTCGCCAATGGAAAGAGCCAACAATGAAAATTGCCCACGTACCTCAGTATGCCTGTCCCACAACCAACATCCATAACTGTGGAACCTCTCAATAAAGAGGGATTTTCCAGAATCGCTTGTCTGTATGCATCAGTTCTCACCTGCAGCCATTTGATATTGAAGTCCTCGCATAAACTCATCCAAGTGACAACTATAATTTGTCTACATAAAAACAATATAACCACCATGTACAGTTCAGTTCAGAAAGTCATTGATTTAGTACCTTATCACTGATCATATCTCTGTGGATGCCGAACGAGCTGTAAGAACCAAAATAACTCTTATTTATACTCTTGATTTCATTTGCTGCAATCTTAGCAGAAGAAAGACTTAATTGATCCTTCTGCTTTTTACAAGATGAAGAACCTTCTCCAAGATGAATTGAACTGACCCCAACAAGCTTTTCCGAAGAATCTGCAGTTTCCAGATCACCTACAAGAGAATCAACCCCATCTCCATTCTGTAGAGTAGTTTTCTGTGGCGATAGAAGTTGGTCCATACCCAGCTTGTTACTAAGGGGAACTCTTTCGAAGCTGCTAATTTCTTTCCTTAATTCTTCTTCATATGCAGATGCATCCTCATCATCAAATTCATCATCCTCGCCAAAATTATATAATAGTGGATCATCTTCCATTGAAGGTCTAAGATATTGATCAATATCCCAGGGCCATTTAGTACCATTGAAACTATCGGCTTCATGTAAATGGAGTTGCAAGTCTCTCTTAGATTGACAATTAATTCCACAGCACCAACATCTGTTTTGCAATACCTAACAGAAAATAGAAGGGCCACTCAACGATCAACTTACAGTCGAGTAAATTGAAAGAGACCAACAAAACTTCAGCAATTTATAAGGAACAACATGAATTCTGAGAAGGTTAAAGATGAAACAAGTGTAAATGAAACTAATAAAGAGAGAAACTCATGGTTCTTGATGCTTATCTTCTAATAAAAATCGAGCAAAAGAAAGATAGATTTTTTCCCCCAAAACTGACCGGTAACAGCGAAGGATTTCTTCCAGAATATTCGTTTCCAGATAGAGATAGATGTGTTTATATTTGTATATATGTAGTTAAGCATGAACCCAAATAAATAATCAATGCAAACAAGAATTCATGAATTCCCATCACTGTATTTAAAGCAATTATCACAGAGACCAAAACATTCTTGCGTCTAAATTGTATGAAACACTCCTATGTTAAACTGAACTAAATAAACATATCGGACTTCCTCAAAATGCCTACACCTTATATTTCACTCAAGGGTGCCGGCATGGGCCTTTTTATCTGCTTCAGGCTCTCAGGCCATGGTTTCATTCAAGAAGCCAGTAAAAAAAAGTTAATCATTATTTACTACTGTGCAAGTAACAATGACCAGAATTTGCAAACCACTGCAATCTCAGATTTTGAGCAATAAAGATATATCAACTGCAAGAGTAAAGAAAATAAACTTGACAACTTAGTTCTTCCAAATCTTTGTGCGAATGCTAGAGTTTTAAATTCCCCAAACACTTTGACTATGAACAAGGAAAGAATTTCTCTATACATTATGATAGGGGCATTCATAAAACTTTGCCATCTGCATAAGACCTACAGATAACTTTATCCTAACTTCCTTTCACTCCATAAGTAACATTAAGGCATCAACCGCATTTTCACGCACCGATTACCCTCCCAACTTTAACGCACTAAATTAATCAACACCGACTCTCTGGTCCAAACTTCGTCCAGTAAAGCATGTTTTAATGCAGCTCAATAAATTAACTCTCTTTTCATACCATGGCATTCCATTATCATTAAGGAACTTCACAAAGCAAACACGTTATACTCGGAATTACCTAGCCCAAAACAAATTAAGCTAAATGTTGAAAATCATACAACTTTAAACTATCAATTCACTTCAGACAACCAAAACTAAAGGTGATGCTTGCAGCTTTATGGATTTAACCAAAAAGGGAGGGAAAAATTAACAACCTCTTTTATTTTATTTTTTTTTAAAATGATGAACTCCAAACAAAATCCCCAAACCCCAGCAAAAAATTCATATTGTTGTAAAGCTTTGCCTATGGAATGAAATATTTATCCTTAACATAATGCAACTATCATTACCATGAACTTTACACAAGTTTTACCTGGGTTCTTATGTAATTGATGAGCTTAAAACAACCATAGAAGTCCAACCCGAGGCTTTTCTTAATAGCATGAAAATCAAAATGATGAGTGGCAGCAGAATGCTCGAAGAGCATATTGGAAGACGGGTAGAAAGAATCACAGAACAAGCAAAGCATTCTACAAGAATTTTCACTTTCTTCTTCATCATCTTCTGCATTCCAGTCCTCCCAATTCTGATCCTCTTCTCCTTCTTCCTCCTCCTCCACATCAATGCTGCCTTCTTGACTACCTGCTTCCACCGCCGCAAAGTCCGCCTCTCCGTACTCCAGCGCCGCCATTTGAATTCGAATCGTTTGCTGTGGGAAAACTCTGCACTTTCTCAATCGTTATTTAGCAAGAGGAAGAAATGCTTTTTTGTCTTTTTCTTGTGAGGGTTTAGGGTTTATGGCCAAAAGCCCCATTTGCATTCGGGCTCGGGTACCCATACCCGAAAACCCACGGGTCTTAGAAAAAGGAGGGAAAGTAAGAGCCTAACCACGTGGTAATCACGTGTATGTCTTGTTCCCGCCAAATCTTTCCCGCCAAATACTTCTACCCTACTACCATTTCTCATCTTCGACAAACCCAATTTCACAACCGAACCCAAAACCCTTTCCACCATTTCCGGCCGCCTCTGTTTCTCTTGTGCCCGGAATATTACTGCTTTTCAGTACGCCGCCGCGGAAGCCGAGTTTGTTCTGAATCCTGAGGAAAAATGTCTGGATGGGATGAAGGAGCCATTTACTACAGTGACCAAGCCCAGTTCCCTCACGGTAGCGGCGGCAGCGAATCGGAGCACGACCAGGGGGCGGCCGCCAGCCGTCACGTGATTCTCCGGAAGTTTAAGGAGTTCATCAGAAATTTTCCGCATAAGAGTCAGCCTAATGTTTTCCCTTATAGAGAAGCGCTCCTTGAGAATCCCAAATACTTGCTCGTTAATATGTCCGATCTCCTTGCCTATGAACGTGACCAGACCTTGCCGGAGCTCCTCCGCCAGAATCCTGCAGATTACCTCCCTTTGGTAAATTTTGATTTCTTTTCTTTTTTCTTTTTTCCTTTCATTTTAACGTTTACAGGAAGAATGAATGGATTTAGTTAGGAATGTTAGCTTCTTTTTAAAGATTTTCTCTATTCACAAGTTTCTGGGATGGGTATTATTAGCAAAATTAATTGAACTATGGTAGAATGTTAAACATTTCTTGGTGGAAGTAATTGGTCAAACATTTCCTTTGATTTTTTGTGCTTTAATCAGGGTCTATCTGTGGTTAGGATTCTAGTGTTTTTGAATAAATATTATATCTTTCAGGCTTGGTTATGAAATGGCCGGCAAAAAGATGCATTGATAGTCGAACTCGGCATTTGAGTTAGCCTGATATTATTGGCTACATTTTGAGTGCGTTTGTTTCTCATAAAAAGGGTTTCCCCTGTTATTAAGCATCATTTGCTCGATTACATTTTGGTTACATGGTTAGTGATTGACAAGCTGATCCATGTATTCCTCATTTGTCAGTTTGAAACTGCTGCTGCCGAAGTTCTGGCTAGTTTGAAATCAAGAGTGTCTGGAGAAACTGGGGAGATGGAGGAGCCTGAGATAGGCGAGGTGCAAATTCTGCTGAGGTCTGAGCAAGATTCGCTTTCAATGCGGTCACTTGGGGTAATTTGCAGTTCGTGATTTTGTTTGCAACTTTTTATTTTTTTTTTCAAACATTGAAAAATTTTTCTTGTTTTTTCGAGTTCTTGTGTATTCTTTCTGATTTGACATTCTAAGTGGTTGGTTAAGAATCTGCTCCTTATTGTCTTTTTAGGCCCAATATATTTCAAAACTGGTCAAGATCTCTGGTATTGTGATTGCTGCATCAAGGACAAAGGCTAAGGCTACCTATGTCACATTAATTTGTAAAAATTGTAGGAACATAAAGATTGTTCCATGCCGTCCAGGGCTTGGTGGAGCAATTGTGCCACGCTCTTGTGATCACGTAGCTCAGGTTCTCAAGAAATGCATCTTTGTAACTTCACATCTAAATTGTTCTGTGCGGGTATGCTGAGTCTATAAGTTTTATTGTAGATTGGGGAAGAAGCATGCCCGCTTGATCCATGGCTAGTCATCCCAGATAAGAGCAAATATGTTGATCAACAGACACTAAAGTTGCAGGAAAACCCCGAGGTGAGACAGTAGTTGACTCAGAGCTGGGTTATGATATTTGTCAGGTATGCTGTGTTTTTCCTTACCATTTTGTTTTGCATCATAGGATGTCCCAACTGGAGAGCTACCAAGAAACATGCTCCTATCTATTGACCGCCATCTGGTGCAGACCATTGTACCTGGCACAAGACTGACAGTAATGGGGATTTACAGTATATTTCAAGCTGCCAATTCTTCTTCCTCGTAAGAAATTTGTTGCCATTGTCCTTTGTTATTTTAATAAAATTGTCCTTGAAACACTGGGATTTGAACTCTCTTACATCTTGAATAATGTTCTTTGTGCGTTTCTCATTTTGGTTTCTTTTGTAGACACAAAGGAGCTGTTGCAGTTAGACAACCTTATATAAGGGTTGTGGGTATAGAGGAAACTAATGATACTGACTCCCGTAGCCCTGCCAACTTTACTGCAGACGAAGTAAGTATTTAATATATCAACAATATCATCATATCATCCATCGAATGCTTTTTTATGTTGTAGCTAGAATGTATAAGTGTTGTGGATCTATGATCAAGTCCGTTGTAAATTGATATAGTTTATTGCTGATCATAGGGAACCCAAAATTAATTTCAGGTACATTAGAAATCACCTTTTAAGTTCCTTCTTACGTTATTTATAACAGCATGGGTTTCTGCTTGCAGTAGTATGTATGTTTGCAAGGGGTAATGATTCTTACAAGAATGTTCTATTTAGATATGGTTTTGATGCAAGCAATGCAAAGTTTTCTGATTAAAGATAATTTATGAAGGATCTAACTGAGCTTTTATTACCTTGTGACTATGGCAAGTTTTCATCCCCCGAATTCTAACCATGATATAGAGATTAGAGTTCTTTGTGATGTCCCTTATGATGCTATGGTCTTTTGCAGATAGAGGAGTTTAAAAAATTTGCATCAGATACAAATGCTTATGAAAATATTTGTTCGAAGATTGCCCCCTCCATATTTGGCCATGACAATGTCAAAAGGGCTGTGGCTTGTCTTTTATTTGGAGGATCAAGAAAGGTATTAACATTAGTAATCTTGTATTATTAAACGGCAATCAGTTTCACTACATAATACATAATCGTTTTGTGTACAGTCTTTGCCTGATGGTGTTAAACTTAGAGGTGATATTAATGTCTTACTCTTGGGAGATCCATCTACTGCCAAATCACAGGTTATTTCCATTCTTTTCTGATTCCCCTCATGGATTTGTTCGTACCAGCTTTTCCTTTTTAGTCATATTGCACTCTACGAACCTGTTTCATGATGGCTCTCAAGATTCTTAATCCATACAAGCATGGTTTGTTAGATTTCCTGTTGTTTGCAAAAGGGTTGTCCTGCTTTCACTTTTTCATCGAAGAGCATGTCCCATCTATTAACAGATTTTATCCTACTGGAATTACTTTTCTTTCTGTCCCTTCCGTTTTAACTTTTGAGGGCTCTCTTTGAAAATGCTATTCTAGTTAGTCCTATGCTTTGCATCCTAATTGACCAGATCACTCCACGTGTCATATATTCAATTCTGTCCTTGCGTAATTAAGACTCTGAACTGTGTTCTTGCCTTATGAAGTTCCTGAAGTTTGTTGAGAAGACTGCCCCGGTAGCAGTTTATACCTCTGGCAAAGGATCATCAGCTGCTGGTTTAACTGCCTCCGTGATAAGAGATAATAGCTCGGTCAGTTGCTTTTTTAGCTATCCCTTGGTTTTGTTTCCTTTCCCTGTATCACAGCATTTGAAATGTAGTCATACCATTTGACTCAACTTCATTATTCAAACAAATCAGCGTGAATTCTATCTGGAAGGAGGAGCCATGGTTCTAGCAGATGGTGGTGTGGTCTGCATTGATGAGTTTGACAAAATGAGGGCAGAAGATAGGTAAGAGCTTCTCTTAAGCTTGATGATTTTCATACTCATCAGTTTATGTGAATACAGGGATCAAAATTTTTATATTTTTTATAGGGTGGCAATTCATGAAGCCATGGAGCAGCAAACCATTTCAATTGCAAAAGCTGGAATAACTACCGTCCTCAATTCAAGAACTTCTGTACTCGCAGCTGCTAATCCACCTTCTGGCCGCTATGATGACCTTAAGGTATTTTCTATTATTATCTTTTATTCTGGTTCTCTTATCTGTTAATCCTTCTGCTCAGAGTATACTTGCTTTCCAGAGACAGTCAGCCAATCTAATTTATTCTTTGCTTTCCAGACAGCACAAGATAATATTGATTTGCAGACAACAATTCTCTCGAGATTTGATCTGATTTTTATTGTTAAAGACATCAGGATGTACAGTCAGGACAAGGTACTTAATTTTGTATATATTTTTTTGACAATGCTAATAAATGTGTAAAGTTGGTGCTTGAGCCACTAACTGTTTGCATTACTTGGAGAAAGCAGTCTCACTTCCTTCTGCAATGGGTTATCTTTATTTTGTTCTTATTTAGCCAGTTCATGCTACACTAGATCAATGTCCTTGCATTTCAATGACTTGATAGCACCATGTATAAAATTTCCAAATTTGTGAGGTCAATTGGTTGTTTCTTCTGCTACTAATTCTACCTCTTTACAGAATATTGCGAGCCATATCATCAAGGTTCATGCATCTGCTGATGCAAGAACGAGTGAGTCCAGATCTTCTAAAGAAGACAACTGGCTTAAGAGGTATTCTTTATTTAGAGCTTATGACATGCTCCAAATGGCTAAATTGCAATTCTTTTCAATCGATTTGAGATTGTTATCATATTTGTAGGTACATACACTATTGTCGGTCTACTTGCCACCCACGTCTATCGGAGTCTGCAGCCTCTGTATTGCAGGAGAACTATGTGAAAATTAGACAGGTAATTTTACTCCCTTGTGTATGAAGAGGCTGGACTTTCTCGATTAAGCAACCAAAAGTTAGTCTGAATGAATCTAACAATTTGGTGTGGGGCATAATTTGCACAACTAGAAAACTGATTTTGACCTATTCTAGGCTCTGAGTAGTAGAAGTGAGCCAGTTTTGATGATATCCTTTGTTACACAAATTTAAAATACCAGGGCTCTTGTCAATGCTAGAAATGAGCATAGATATAAATGGCCAATGGCCAAATATGGTGTTTTGAGGGAGTCCGGCTTGTAAAAGAACGTCATTTTAGTAAAACAGTTACCGTCAGATTTAACACCCAATAATGTATAGTTTTGTACGGCCTGACATTGTTTTTGATATCCTTCTTGTAGGATATGAGGAGGCAAGCCAATGAAACTGGAGAAGCAGTAGCAATACCTATCACTGTGAGGCAGCTGGAAGCTGTAGTGAGGTTGAGTGAAGCTCTTGCAAGAATGAGACTGTAAGTTGACGGAAGTCTATTCTTTTCAAACTTATCATGCTTGGTATTCAGGCAACGCTTAAGGGTTTCATACACAGCAATGACAATACATCACCTTCAATAACATTTCATTAGCATACAACAAACAGTATGATTGTCTGTGGTTAGATATTAGAGTCTGATGTTCGATGTGCCCTTAGATAGAAAGCCTAGTAAATAATCCAACTGGTTGCATCTAACAAACAAAGGCTTCTCTTGTTCTCAATTATCAAGTTTTCATCTGCATTTACAGAAGAATTGCACTTGTGTTTCTGTGGAAGTTGTCCTTCAAATGCTTATGTTGTAAAATTAGTTCTAGCTTACAACACACACTATAGGAAACTGTGAATGGGGAATATTCTTATAAATGATGAACTAAAGGGGGAAGGCGATGGTATGTTCTATAGGACTGTTACTCCAGAACTCAAAAGGTCAGAAGTGTAGCTTTGCAAATGGTTCTTTCACTGTTTTATTAAGGCTGTTGCCTAGTATGCTCATTCTCTTTCTATCCATGATGTTCTGTACTGATGGCATTTGTGTTACCTTGTTAGGTCTCAAGTTGCAAATGAGAACCATGTCTCTGAAGCTCTTAGGCTTTTCAACAATTCCACGATGGATGCTGCAAAATCTGGAATAAACCAACACATAAATCTCTCCCCTGAAATGGCAAATGAGATTAAGGTTTGCATCTGACAATTAGGTTCTTTATTATGTTTAGCTGTTTATCTGCATTGTCAACTAAAATCAATTACTTTTCGTGACTAACAGCAAGCCGAAACTCAAATTAAGAGAAGAATGGGAATTGGAAGCCATATATCTGAGAGAAGACTGATTGATGAACTCACAAGAATGGGAATGAATGAATCCATTGTGAGTTACTTTTTCTTCTACTTCCCATATGTTAACTTTTAAGCTATACCATACATATCTGCTCATCATATGGAATTCTTACGTACTTGGCAGGTAAGAAGGGCTCTGTTGATCATGCATCAGAGAGATGAAGTTGAGTACAAAAGAGAAAGGCGGCTCATTGTGCGTAAAGCTTAGTGTTTCTTGCCATCTTCTCCAGCAAATCTGAAAACTTCCTACACTCAGCTCGAGAAGCATAAGCTACTTTCTGTATTCATCAGTTGTATATGTATTAAAGTCTGTAGCTGGAATTAGTAAAAGGTTTGAAGACAATGTACTAATCCAAGTGGAAGGCGTGAAGCTTTGTCCATACAACTCCTGACTGGAATTTGTTAGAATTTGCATCATCTAATTGAAAACATTTCCAAAGTTCTGACGTTGAGACTTGAGGAACCATATGGAAACCATACCAGCCCAAACGGATAACAACATTAATTTTTAATCAAACCGGCCCCAAAAACTAGTTTATTTGAAGATCCCAGTTCAACCATTTGCCATAACATTCTAGCAAAGTATGTGTATTTGATGTGGTGATTTTACTGCACAAACTTGAAGTATCAATAAACTTACAGCTATAAAGAAAAAAGTCCTGTTTGAGGAAGAAATGGTACTATCTTGTATGCTGTCTTAAAGATAAAAGTTTGGATGTTTCCCTACCGAAAACCATCTCCTCATTCCAAATAGTACTCAATCAGAACACATCTACAAAATTACTGTAAAAACGGATTCATGGTATCAAATGTGTTTTAAAATTGTACCTTAAATTGTACCTTCAGAAGTTTAACAAAAGATTCACCATGATAACCTCTCAATCCGTAGCTTGTTCACCACCATTAACGCCAAGTAATCCATTTACCAGGTGGAATTTTACCCAACCCATGTCGCCATTGTTGATGTCTTCTTCTTCTTCCAAGTCTATGCGCTTCTCTTGTTCTCTACCTCATCAACCCCCTCTCAGGTTGAGGCATACATCATCTGTATTCGTATTTATTATGAACTTTAACTCTCCCGACCATGAAAATTCGTTCTCTTAGTTGAGTTTTTTTTTTTTTTTGGAAAACGATGCAGGTGCGCAATTTTAGGTGCTGGTTTTGCTGGACTGTCGGTGGCTTGGCATTTATTACAGGTATCGTCCTATTTCTCTCTACTCTGTAGACCCTTTTATGCATATTTAGTTGCCGTAGTTGGGAGTTTGTGTTCGGTGTAGTTTGTGTTATAAGAACTTCATAACTTGCAGAGGAGGCATTGATTATGATTTGTGTTATTTGAACTTCATCCCCTTTGAATTGAATGTTTTCTTATGACTGAGGAGGATTCTCCACCTATAAAGGTGTAAACTTTATGATTTTATAAACTCAAATCTGCTTAATTCTTCCTCTATTTCTGTATAGTGTATGTTCAATTCTGCTATGGAAGGGAGTTGTAAATGACTGATGACAGCTTTTTGTTTTCACTGATATGACCAAGGAAATGTTTTCTTAACCCAAATGAGAATTTACATCAATGTCTTACTTCCTTGTGTTCATTGTTATGTGCGTCCTTCTGCAGAATTGTGCCAAGGAATTGCCGTTGTTTATTGATATATTTGATGATGTTGGTATTGGTGGAGGCGCGTCAGGGGTGGCTGCTGGACTTCTTCACCCGTACTCTCCTAAAGGTAATTGTGCTTCCACATCACATTGTAATTTGTTTTCTTGAGTTATCTTTCATTTAACACCTCCGTGTTGTTCATATGTTGATGTTTAGACAATATTTTAGATTAAGTGAAGTGTTCTATGCTTTCCAGTGAAACCTCTTTGGCGGAGCACAGAGTGCTGGAGTGAGAGTTTGAAGCTTGTACAGGTCGCTGAAAGTGCATGGTGTTCTAGGGTGCAGAACATGGATACAGAAGGAGCTGTCCGCAGTTTGAATCTTTCTCTTATCAAAAAAAGGTTTGTACTATAGACCCTGCGGCTTGTTTTTTGTGAGGATTCCTGTCATACTCGAAACAACTATAGTTTAGCCGTGTATCCTTAGCCAAACTTTTCAAAAGTATGTCCCTGTGGTCATGCCATGTTGAGTTAGACAATTATTTAACTGCCAAATTTAGAGTCTTGTTTAAGACCGTTGGAGTTAGAAACTGCATTCAGTTTGGGAAGCATTTATTAGTTATTTTGCTTTAGAGAGTTAAAATTTCCCAGTAGTATCACCAATGCGTTGGCTGATTAGACAGTGGGAACGTAAATATGCTGAGAATTTTTTAGTGTTTGAAGAACAGCAGATCTATGTTTTCTACTGCTGTGTTACTTGTGCTTCAAAGTTTTGAAAGAAAGAATGATCATATTTTGCAAGCATTTCTGTTACTTTTATTTTTGCGACCAGCTTTGTCACTGTGGGTTTGAGTTTCTGATGATGTATTTCTCCTCAATCATTTATGAGCAAAACTCCAGTTTCCTTTTTGTTTTCTTTTTTGTTTTTCTTGAGCTCTAGAGATGCAGCTGAATTTCTTCAGAAACAGGAAGTGATTACCATGTTTCTATGTTTTGTTCTATGGTTTTTCTGTAAAGGGGCTTGCTTTTGTTAGCAATACATCTATGCCAACTAACTCCTAATTTTGAAGTTCCAATTCAGAGGGATCCTGCGGCCTGCAGTCAATTCAAAGAATCTGAACATAATGGACAATGTAAGTCTTCAAAGTGATTTGTGCCTAGCAGTAGAATAATTACAGCATAGTGATGCATGGCTTTTTCTTGTTCAATATTATTAGAATGCTCAGAACTGCCTCGCCAGTTGCAGAATAGAGTCCATTGACAAGGATGCCGCTGTAGCTCTTGTTCCTGGTTTGTCTGTGCCACTAAACTTGGCTTTTTACATGCCTGAAGCTTTAAATATCCACTGTCAGCACTATCTTGAGGTCTGCGGAATACATAGTTTAATGCATTTCTGTTTTGTAACTATGATATTCCTGATATTCTATTGATCTATTTCTGGTCTGGAAACTTTATATAGGCACTCTACTTAGCTTGTCAAAATGCAGTCACGGACAACATGTCCATGGGAACTGCCACTAGAGAGATGAATTTTTGGAAGAAATCCATTTATGATATCCGTGAATTTGCAGGTAAAAACTTGTGCTTCTTAACCTTCTATTGATTATGACTCATTAGAGGAACATAAGGCAAGTTGGGTAGCTTCTTTCAGATGCTCTTGAGATTATTTCTAGTTTGATTGTGGGTGTGCTCTCTCTGGTAGCCAGTACCTTCAATGACTTTTGTTGATTGTTTTTATTATCGTCCTTCTCTGAGTCTTAGATTTCCACTGATCCTACTTGTCTTCGCCTGTAACTGGTCTAGTGACCATTGTATTATATTATATTTTTCTTTTTAGTAAGTTACATTTTTGGTAGCATCTACACTGAAATGCTTATTTTCAACTCTGTTGAATTGTAAAGAAAATGCATAACACACAGTTGAATTGCACGGTTTGCATCGCAAGTCTTTCATGTCGTTTTGAATGCTTGATGAGTTTGTAAGTCGGTCTTTTTCTTCTTTGAACATCTTCATGTCAACCATGCTAATTTCGGCTCATTTGTTTTATCTGTGAAATCATAAAACCAGAAATTAGAGCATTTAGACAAACACCGGCCCTTCAAGCACACCAGATAATATGTAACTGCCAATGTCTTTTGGTCATTTGTTGAGGAGGTTGTTGCACATATTCTTTTCAGGCGAGTACAATGCAGTTGTTGTTTGTCTCGGTGCAAGAGCAGCCTTTCTTACAGGATTTGGTGAAATAGTTCCGTTGAGATTATGTAGAGGAGTTGTTGCTAGAATGGAACTTTCTGATAATTTCAGGTACTTTTTGAGGTCATGACAACACATGTTCAATATTTTTATTCCACGTAACTGTAAGCAATTTAAAATAACCAACCATACTTCTTGTTTAATTTTAAGTTTAGTTTTGCCCGAGTACTGGCAGATTCGATGAAAGTTTACTGTGGTTCTGGTATTACTGTGCTAAAAAACAGTTGAGAACAACGTTACTGATGCCTATACAGTTCATTTGTTCTAAGAGTGGTTGAGTTTGGATTTTTCCCATCCTACTTCTTTTTATTTCTTTCTTTTCTTTGTCTTCTTTAACTCTTTTTCAATCTGGCAGTAGCCTATATTTGTTGTATTAAAAGTTAAAGTTCTGAGTATGGTGGGTGGTTAAGTAGCAGTACTCATAAGGCCATATCTGTTAATTAATAGATAGAAGTGAATTTGTCGCATGCCAATACCAACATTACTTTGTCTTGCACATCTAGGTTGCTTTCTTTTTCATTTCAATTTCATCTTTTGTCAAGATCTGCTGAAAGATGGCCTGCATTGGTATTTTGCTATTGCTTGGATGAGTGATACTGACATCTGAATGTATAAAAACATTTATTCCTTGACAGAGAAGAGTATCCAGATCATAGCCCCTCGATTTTATCAGATGCCTGGCTTGCTGTTCAAGGCCCTCGGAATCTGCAGTTAGGCTCAACCTGGGAATGGGGGTCCACAAATCATTCGAGGACCGTCTCAGATGTTGAAGCTTCCAGGGCTGTAGAAGAACTTCTACCGAAGGCATCTGCTGTATATCCAATGATAAAGAACTGGACACTGGCAGAAGCAGTTGCCGGACTTAGAGGAATGCCACCTCTCACATCTCATGGATCGCTTCCACTTTTGGGCTGTGTAGACGATTTTGTTGGTGGAAATCCTAACTGCCAGTACTGGATATTTGCAGGGCTTGGTGCAAAAGGGCTGTATTATCATGCTCTGCTTGGCAAATTGATGGCTCAAGCCATTCTTTCACGTTCTGAAGATTCTATTCCTTCAGAATTACTATCTTGGAAACAAAGAGTAAAGAAATAGTACAAAATATTCGATCTTTTGCCCCTGGATTGTTTTCTCTTCTCCCTTCAGATGTCAAACATAAGTAACAAAAACCGACCATTTCCAACCGCCCAGAAAGGAAGCTTACAAAATCATCCAAAGCAGAGATGAACTAGGCACAGTTGCTAAGGATCTCTACTGCTGAACAGATAAAGAAACAGCCACCTGATGAAGATGCAACAAGACAAAATGTTGCTTGATGAACTCCTCAGGCCTCAGGCTAGAGTTGTCGAAAGGAGGAGGATTAAATCTCAACAAGGCTTCCATATGGATGAGCATCAAGCCGACATGGAATAGCGGTAATATGTTCATTTTGTCAAAATGCAACGGGACATGTTTTCTAGCTGCCGAAGCAACTACTCTTCTCATGTTCGCAATGAAAATATGTGAACGACAACAGAAGAGAGGGATCAAGATGAACATGCTTAGTAATGTCCATATCTGAACAACCTTAAATCTTGTTATATGTTTTGAAGTTTCACATCAATTTGACTCGCACACATACAGTTCCAGAACCCCGACCCTCAGTACTTTCATTCATTTCGGAGTCCCTTGAGCAAGTTTATTACATTTTGAATGTTAAAATGAAACCAAAATCAAACATACTCAAATTTACGCCAGAATCACAGGGTATAGTAAATTAAGCATCAAATACAGTTCTTCATCAACTAAAATACAGTTCTTCATCAAATGTGAACTAGAAAGTTGCTAGCAAATTAAGCATCTCATCAATCCTCCAAGAAGAGAAATCACCAATGGTGAACTTTTGAACAGAGCCATTCACATGAATAAGAGATCATGCCTCCTTTTTCAAACCACTTTCTCAACCCATATCTCATCTGAAGCACCCTATCAGGATTCAGGAACTTTATATTATGATAAGCAACCTCCAATATAGAATTGAAACGTACTGATTGAACTTGGGATTCACAGACTTCATATCCTCTACATGCATATGTTAGCTCTCAGGCAACAGGGAAAGACATTCTCATTCGTAACCATTTCACTTCGCTTTTGCATCTGGCTCTATAACCGCCAAGGAATAACATAAATATAGGAACTTAATAACGAAAAAGACGGATAATCATACAAATGAACTCTCCTAAACTATATAATCCTCTTCAACCAGTTCATAATACATGCTAAACTATCCCACAATAAATTCCAAAAGCATCTGATCTTTCAGAATCCTGCAATAAATCTAATGTTGAGTTTCACGCCATCTATGAAACTGAACGAATTGGGCATTCAGAATCAAATTCTACAGTAGCATGATCTGGAATCAAACACTTTAAGGAGATTATATTCTCCTCAAAAAAGCACCGAGCAAACTGAGACCATTTGACACCCATACAGATTGATGGATCGGTCTTAACAGAAATCGCCTGCATCTCCACCCTATTTGGATCAAACAAGTAAAGGGAAGCTGGAAATTTACCAGGACGGGATGTTAGCACTTCCCCATTGGGGAGTATTCCCTCAAAGTAAAATGCGCCGATAGATGATGGAACAAATAAATCATCATTGACCCAGATATCTTCCATCAAATCTCCTGCAGAATTCCTCCTGAAACCATGAGTCGCAAGAGGTTTGTATCTCAATCCATTCCAGAAAACAGAAGACCAACCCATCAAAGCCAGTGTCCCGAAATGTGGAAGATAATATGTCTGAGAAGGATCTTCTTTCATCAAGCTAATGAACCTGAACTTCTCCTGAACAAGATCAAATGCAACCGCCCCAGTACAATGTCGGTGTGAAATCACGGGCCAATCGAATCTGTTCCACCAGTAAATAACTCCATCTGAGCACCAGCTGCCTCGGCCTCGGGTTATCCCCGAAAGCGATGTACGGATATCTCTCCAGGATGAATCCACCCCGATGGTCAGAATCTTACACTTCCAAGGAGCCTGGTTTAGGGAGACAGGACGTATACAGAGCAACTTGAACAGTTTGGAAGCGGGATCGAACCCGAAATGGTAACTGCCCTTCATCCTGTGATCTAAATCAGGGAGTTTCAGGTTTTCCCGTGTGGCAATATTGTACAGCCACGAATGATTCCGATGGTACAAACAAACCAGGCCGTCAACGACGTTGGTGGCGCGCCATTCCTTGTTCTCCTCGTGGCTGAGGCTGAGGTAGTGAGAAAATTGACTCGTCGGGCCGACGAGGGTGGAGAAGTAGAAGTTAGTTCGGAATGAGTTTTCCGATTGGAAGGCTTGATCATCGTGGATCAGAAGACCCCGTGAACCGCCATTGTAGGATTTGGCGAAGGTTGGATCTTTGATGATTGAATTCCAGGTCGCCGAGATGCACTGGAATCGCATCAGGGATTTTACAGGGAGCCATTTCAGGATTTCCCGATAAATTTCTTCAGGGAGTACTTCTGAATCCTCCTCCTCCGCCATACTCTCCACTGAAGCAGCCAAAAAACCCTAGTAACACTGGATTTATATACTCAAATAGCTGAATCAGACGCGATGATGATGGCCTATCTGCGTATAAACATATATAGGTAGGCCATGGGATGAAAACCCTAGTAACTCAGGCTTATATACTCAATGTCTGAACACGATTTCCATAGAGAACCCGACACGATTTACATAGAAAACGCGACGCAACATGACACAATTGACACCCGACACGATTTACATAGAAAACGTGACACGACATGATACAATTGACACGATTTTTGTTTTTATTACGTTGTTGCTCCAAAAAAGAACTTATGAACCCTCTCGAATACATAACTCGAAATTGACATGCCTAATGAAAATACTCCTTCATTACTTTATATTAGGTTGGTCCCAAAATGGTTATTTAGTTTTTGTTTTAATTCCATGTCCTAAAATGATTGTCAACTTTAGATTCTTACTTTTAGAACAAATCATTTTCGGAATAGTGAATGCTAAAATTGACTCAACTATCAATTTAGGAGAGAGGGTAAACTCATTGCCAATTAGTTGAAGAGATAATTTATGAAAATAATAATAAATATATATGATCATATGGAAAGCAAATAAGTGGCGGTGCATTGCGCAAAAGGATCGTGTAGACTTCTCGTGAAAATGTTGTATAATTTAAGGATAAGAAATGGTAGATATCTAAGAAAAGACAATCCAAAAAATTTCAAACCACAAACAGAGATTCTTACACAACCAAGTAAAGATGAAATAAATACATTTTTCTCAGGGATTTCTGCAGCTAAACAGACATACAAATGGGCAATGGCTTCTACAAAAAGCTACCAAAAAAGATAAAAACAAGCTGGAACTTGAGGATTAGTTATCAACATGGTCTCCATATGTAAACCTGACCGCCGCTTGTAGCACTAGCTAGCAATCCTACTTCGAACGGATGAGCATCAAACCGACATGGAATGGCAGTCATGTTTTCACTTTGTAAGGTCGTAACGACATCTTTTCCAGCCGTGGAAATGACATCTACTCCTCTTCTCATGTTCCCAATGAAAACGTGTGAATCATCCCAACCCCAAATTCCCCTGGATAAACAAATGGAGGGATGGATCAAAATAAATAGGAGAGTAGTCCATTACTCATATCCAGAGCTGAAAAACCTTGAAAATTATATGATTTGTTTTAGAAGATGATTCCGATGCTCCATAATTCCAATTACCAGAATGAGAGCATGACGAAAGAAAAATTAAGTTTCAGTTACTATTGCAGTTCAAACTTCACGGAACCCAAACTTAGCCATACTTGTTTATTTGTTACTCCCTTCGTCTCAACATAAGAGTCCTGTTTCTTGAACTATTATTGCACAAATAACAGGAATCTTACTTTGGGACCCAAGGAATAATGATGCATATTTACGAATGCCCTGAACCCAGATCATGAACAACCATCCCATCCCACCTCTCCCCATCCTCTTGAAACTGATCAAGTCTACTGAATAAAGTACTGAATGATGTGATAGTAGTTTCCTATCCTTCAGATTCTCTGCTAGCAAAGTGCCCAGTAGGCCACACCAAAAATAAAACACCTTCTCACATTTTCCCCATTTCCCTGCTCTTTATTGCAACTTTAGGCAGAAAAACGTAAGATTTCTTCAAAGGAAAGTCGCTAAGAGAATAAAAAACTCCTTTTCGCTACGAATATCACTATAAGACACAAATAACTATAAAACTACACTTTGTAAGATAATTTTCAGTCTAGAGAAAACTAGATTTATAGACAGATACTCAACATGGGAGACTTGAGATTACCGGAATGAGGAGATCCATCGACCAGTCTGGTTGTTGTGGTATACCATTGTCATCTTTTCATAATTATCTCCACTCAGTAAGCCTACTATGTCATCAGCACTGCATAGAAAAATCAATTTATCAACTATCAAGCATACATACACTCAGCTAAAGCACTACGACGGGTGCAAGAGTTTATCTTGGCTTCAGGCTGGACATAAATGAAAGAACAAAAATCCTGGGGCATATCAGAGCCAGGAATCTTAAATCACTAATTGGAATTCCAAGCACCAAACTAAAATCTTTCGAACAGAATCTTAGACCAAATAACTGACCACATTAACTTCTAGCAGTAAAAGGATGGGTGAAATCATATATTATCACCAAAAGATATCAGGCTATTCCATTCAAAAGCCAAACTTATGCAAGAGCACTAAGCTGAAAGGTGCATATTACAGAAAAGAATCCAAATACCTACAGAAGTTTCTTTTCAGGTTCAGAATGACAACTACACTTTTGAGTTTTCAACTTTCATATCAATTTGACTACACGCACCTTGTAGTCGCAAGGAACTTTCCAGAAGGTGAAAAGTAAGCGGAATGCACAGCTCTTTCATGGTTAATGATCTTCAAACTTGATGGTCCATTTGCACCAATAGTTCTCAAATCCCAAATGCACGCAGACCCATCTGTTGAGCTTGTTGCCATTATGTTTGTGTCACACGAATTGAAATCTATTGAGTTGATCCTGCTATGGTGCAAATCCCAAGAATGTGAAAGCTTTCCAGTCCTCATATCCCATAAACTGAGTCCTCCACTGCCCTCACAAAAATATATGGACTTGGGATCATCTGACTTTTGAGACATTGAATATATAGCATGCTCACTGGCATAAACCAAGTCAAAAAGCTCTTTCTCGAAATCAAGCATTCTTATGAACCCGTTATAGCAGGAAGTAAACATCTGCACTCAGATTCAAAAGCACAAACGTCACCAAGCAATATATATAACACATATATCATAAAATCACAAGCATCACATGATTGCTAAGTAACAGAATCTAGAAACACGTTCTAGACCAAAGTTACGAATATCAAGCTCTATAATAGCAGCGAGAAACATAGCGAGCAAAGAACGAACATGAAATCTACTGGTCAAGATAATATCTTGACAATTGATGAATCTGATGCAATAAAGTTGGTACGGAAGAGGTAAATCATAACCATGACGTCAAAGGTTGAAGGTCTAGATTTCGATATTATTCATCCCCGTTTAAAACAAGAATTCATGCCAGTCAAGTTCAAACAATATCCTGCTAGTACCTTTGTTAAAGAAAATGGATTGACCACTATCCCTGAAACAGGTGCAGGATGAGGATGATATAGATAAATTCCTTCTGTCTCCTCATCATCAGCATCAACGTTCCAAAAACCAATGTCCCCAAACTTGTTCCCGACAACAACTATCCGAGCATCTCTAGTCGGCAAAAACTTTACATTTAGAATCCTTCCTGGAACTATCCGTGCAACATTCTCAGGTTCCAAATTCATTGCCTCAACATCAATCGAGCCCCAAACCTTTTTCCAACTTTTCGGGTCTCCAAGGCCCTCATTTTCTTCCTTCCTGCGGATAACATCAGAAGATACCTCAGGACCCTCATTGCCTCCATTCGTTCCAGATTCTCTTGAGCAATGCCAAATCGCTTGAATGAGTTTCCTATCAGAGGCCTCCGTTCTATAAGCATCAGTCATAGTAATAGGGCCTTTTTCACTAGCTCTTTTGACCACTGCAGAGTCTGAATCTGAACTGGGGTTTTTCTTGGACATAGACTTTTGGTTTTCATTGAAATCATCTTTAAGACCACCAGCAGTGTCAGCATCTGGTGCCACTCCACGGGTCCTGAGAGACCTCCGAAGAATAATCGGGGTTTCCGTCTTCTGTTTCTTTGAAGGGCTGATTTTATAAGATTTAGTTTGTGCTCTGCAATAAAACAATCATCACAGAAGTCAACACAAACAGAGTACTCCCTCCCACAAACTATCAGAATTAACAGAGGATTTTTCACAATTTGCTAAATCTAAGGCACTAACGTAACAAAAACTCCGTAACAAATAATGATTCATATTTCATACATCATAAATTGAAAAACCCAGAAGATTTAATCAATTTGTTTTTCACTCAAACAACTCAAAAAAGGAAATGAATCCCAGCGAATTCAAATGACTAAGAAGAACCCACAACAAGATTAAGCTTCAGTTATTTATTCCCAAAAAAGCAATTAGAGAAAACATACTTCTGGCGTTTGGTGGCCTCAGAGAGTTGGGAGAGTTTGGAATGGACTTTGAGGGCGGCCAGCATTTCTTCATTCCGCTTAATGTTCTCCAGTCTTTTGCGCTCGTATTCAGTCATCTTCTTTGGGGCCATTTCTGGGTTGAGCGATTCTCGAACACTCGAATCGTTTACCGCAACCAACAGATGAAAAAGAGGCACAGAAATACAGTGGAGGCTGGAAATGGAGGGAGTTGGTTAGGGTTTCATTCCGATGGGGAAGAAGAAGAAGCAGAAGGAGATGGGGAATTGATTGGTATTTATTAATATTAAATTACTACTCTTTTGGGCGGCACGGGGAAATTGGCGGGAATGTTGATGCGGTATTACGTGGCGACCATTGGGTGGGGGGCGGTTGGAGCAAACGAAGAATCAGAAAATTTTTTAATTTTTATTGTTTATGTTTTAAAATGGAACTAGTAAATATTAAAAAAGTTGGATTAAAATTTTAAAATTTCTCACACATACCGTGTCGTGCTGATTATATTTTTTAGGTACTCCCTTCATTCCAAAATAAGTGTCATCATACACTTTGCACATAGTTTAAGAAACTATTAAATAGAGTAATGAAATTACTTGAATATCCTCAACTAACCCCATTAAAAAAATCTCCACCGGGTAATTTTGAAAATTTTGGACAAAAAATGCATTGAAATATGAGAATCACACTTATTTTAAAATTCCTCCATTTTATTAAAACAACACTTATTTTAAAACGGAGAGAGTACAATAGAGGAACTTTTATAACATCAGACTCAATCCATAACTATTTTTAACATAATGCTATTACTACCTTCATTCCTTGTCGTAAGAATCAATTACTCCATCCGTCCCATAATTATTGTCCAGTTTGGATTTTCATTTCTGGTTCAAATTGTTCTAAAAGTGAAATCTCAAACTGGACAATAATTTTTGGACAGAGGGAGTATCTATCTTTATATGTACATGCCAATCAAATTTTGTTATTTATCACAAATGAATTATAAATTTTTTAATTTAACCTTCTAATATTAACGATAGTGGTTGAAATTTTTTTACGATTAGTCAGGCAAATATTTGGAAAATTTTATTTAATCCTCTCTTATAGAAATGTAAAACTTGTAGACAACGAGTTACAGTTTAGTGGTAAAAACGCCTCACATGTTGATCAACAGATCACGAATTCGAGTCACGCTAAGGGTAGGTGGGAAATCACTATTAATTCCTTAAAAAAAAATTATAGAAATGTAAAACTTGTATGAAGGGGAAAAAAAAATATCATGCTCAAAACCTCTAATAAAAAGGAATAGAGATAGTAGTACATAGATGACCATTGTTTATATACACTTCGTTTATTTTTCTTTTTTTTTTCCGGCTTTTTTTATTTATTTTTTGACCATTAAAAATAAAAACGATTTAATTTTTCATTTTCACATTTAACTATAGCATGCTTATAATAAATAAAAGTTCATCCATTTTTAATAATATGAGTTAATTATGTTTTAAAAAAAATAATAAGTTAATTAATAAAGATTCTTTTATTTCAAAAGTTATGATACAATGTTTCTTTCAAAATTTATTATTTCATTGTATTAATATAAAAGAATTCCTATGGAGCATTTTTAATTTAATTTATGATATATTTTCAAAAATATTTAAATAATATTATGTAAAAAATATGGATTGAAGGTATTTTTTACCGTTTACTAAAATTGGTGCTCATTTTAGAATGTTAAGGGGACATTAAGTATATTGACTATTGTCGAAGGCGAAATCTGTTAGGACGAGGGTCAACGGTATCTATGGACCTGAGACCTGGAAAACAAGGGTTAGCACTCCGACGAGCAAGTCAGTGTCAAGAGTGAATGTATAAAATGTGAGCCAAGAAGGGAGTAGGAAGAAGAGCTTACTCTCCACCACCAAAAATGGGGTATATATAGATAAGGTGAGGGGAATATTCCCTAGGAGAATATTCCTTTCTCAAGATGGGCTTGGGCCATTGTTAGGGCTTTAGCCGGCCCAATTAGCCACAAAGGAAAGTTTCCGGGCCCACGAATGGTTGTTAGCCCAGTCCAAGGTCCACCCTCCAACAAGTGCCCCTGCCAAGTGTTAGTGGAGAAACACATATAGGTAATAATAAGTGTGAAACACAATGCTTGGCAAATACTAAAAATGGACCTGAAGGTAGGGCTCACGGAGGAGTTGTCCATTCATGGATACACCTGATTAGGCAAAACCACAAACCCTCGTGATGGTTGAAGAGTAATGATGGGTAACTGTGATCGGAGTGCAAAGAGTTGGCACGCCGAACCCTTGTCGAGGGCATCTTCAGCTTCGATCATCAAACATGCCCTAAGAGATAAGCCGGAACTGAATGCGCTGCTTGGGGAGACATCGAAGCAAAGAGGCATAGATCGTCCGAAGAATTCGTCCCCGAGCCACTGAAGAGGTCAAGAGGGAGAATGCGTCGAAGAATTATTTTCGACGAGGTGACATCAAGACTTTTGACAATAGAAAAGGTTCAGGCATGAGGTTAACCCAACCTTTTGTCTGAACTCGAAGCAAATAGAATAGAAGGACTCGCGACAAATCGGAGAACATTATTAGAATGCCACTGGACGAGGAAGAACGTCTAAGGAGCCAAAAGCTCCCTTGGGATAAGCCGTGGCTGATGAAGCAGCCGTGTAACTAAAGTTAATAACGATGGTTTAAAGAAGGTTAACAGATTTTTACGGATACAAAGTAAGTTAGTTATGACCCGTACCGGCGCATGATAGGCCGAGGAAAAATATCACCGAATTATTGATTGTTGAGGAGCGTAATTTTAGAGTCCGAAGCTAACCATGCGCCAACAGAGAGATATAACAGGCACCTCTGATTAGTAGAGGCAAAGCAAAGGGGATCACGATGGATCATTGGACAAGGTTAGGTTATTACAGCCGCAGACGACCAATGAGAATTCAAAAGTTTACTTTAGCATAAGCCGATGCTGGTTGAGCAGCCGAGCGGCTAAAGCTAACAATGATGGCTCAATAAAGGCCGACTGTGTCACAAACCAAAGGGTATTATCGAAACGCCAACGGTCAGTAGGTAGATTCATCCATCAGAAGGGGTGGACAAAGCTAAAGAGTTGCCCCTGTGTGATGTTTTCGGAAAAATACACTCGCAATGATCAACAAATAAGAGAAGAGTCGCGACCCTCAAGCCAGTACTTTCGGAGATGAGTATAGGCAATCGGACGGACCGAGAGGCGTCGTCGAGAGGTCGAAGTCATAAATCTCAACAGCCTGTAGTAAGCCGAGGGATGTTGACGAGACGAATAGTCAGTGTATATTCATACTCCAAGAAGGTTGGGCAAACAGGTTGCCCCTTTCATCTTCAAGGATAGAAAAATATTCAGAAGCGCAGGTAAACAGGAGGACTCTTATCCTAAACTTCAGACGAGTCAATAAACAGACTCCCGCATTGACCTGCGTCATAAGGGACTGAGCCAGGAGAATTAGTGCGACATTGGTTGTTGAAGCCGAGCAATATATATAAAAACTTCTGAGAAGAAGTCACGCTTTGATAAAAAAGATGGCGACGGAGCATTACAAAGTGTTGTCCGAATAGCACCATCGAAGACTATCGTTAAATTCGTGTGAAGTCAACAATGCACCAACGAGGATTATGATTCGACCCGAAGGATACATTAATAAGAATTGCTTTCTCCCTCGGGGGCGAGAGTTGAAAGAATAAAAGGTATTGCCACCGTCGGGTAATATGAAGGTGGCTCAAGTAAAGGGGTGCCAATGGCGCTTAGAAAATGGGCGGAAAACGGGCGCCTATATAGGCAGAACATGGCTCTGAAGACTTCATCCCATTTAACAACTATGAAAGCGTTCTGATTCGCCCTCGGCGGGCTTAAGCATTAGTAGCAGTGAAGTGGGATGGAGACTTCGACAGAATATTGTTGCTTCGGGCATACACTAGTCAGTTGCGGTCGGCATTAACAGACGCTACCCCTTTTACCGTGGAAAGAGGTAAGGAATATGACTTCCGATCCCAATGGCCCGAACCTTGCCCTGAATGTGGGTCGACCCTGGATCAACTATCTGCGAGGCTGAATGGTGGATATAACCAAGCTCTTTCATGAGTTAGGACGAGGGTCATCCTAATCGGGAGTAGGTCCGGCTTCAGTTGCCAGGGCAAGTGTATTCGTAGGAAGTGATAGAATAGAATGGATTATTTTGAAAAAACAACCCCACTTCCTTACCTTTTATTTCCTTTCACTTGTTTGCTCCGTCCTCTTATACGTTGTTATGACAATTGATTGTTTATGTACGCGCCTACTAATTTATCGTTTCACATATATAAAACTTTTGTTAGACGTTTAGAGGATAGTGATGTCCCTTCCCCCAAAGTTTTATATTTAGAAACGTTTTAGAAGCGTGTTTTTTGTGTATGGGCTTACGGAATTTGTATAACTTTTCAGTGTAATAAAGAAGTTGTAAGCCCAAATAGCAATAGGTGCTATCAACCACGGGGGTCGGTACAAGTTTGAAAGAGCTCCGCGGCCCTAGGGGCGCGAGAGCACCATCGGCCATGGAGGTCGACGGTGTATTTGTTGGGATAAGCTTGCTTCCATAGAGAAAACACGTGTTTGAGTATAGTTGGCTAATTAATTGATTGGAATTACGTAGGTGATTAATGTCCCTTGGCCGTGTTTAGCCAATACAGAGTTTGTGCGACCCCTAGGCTGATCAAGTACGTGTGTGTACTTTTCTCAAGATAGAGCCTGAGTCAAGAGAGTATGAGATAAAGAGGCTTGATTGAGGCCGTGAGGGTTGTTAACTCAGGGTGGTCAAAATTGTAAGAGCGTATAATTCGAAGCCGAGTTAGGATCGTATGATTATAGAGCTCAAAGGTTGACCGACGCTATGTGAGTTTTTAACCCTAAGGCTAGTTGAAACCATATGACTTATGCCGTTCGTTGTGTTTCCATTCGATTGGATGATCATGAGTACATGAAAAGTTATCATATTTGAGATGATAATAGAAAAAAGTTTGAGAGGATTTTGAAATAAAGGTGTTATTTAAACTTCTTTGCCCCTCCACCTAGCCTTGATGCTGGTTGCCCAGGTAGGCTACGATAAAAAGCAACATCGTCCACCTTAGGAGCCCTCCCCCCCTATTTGGGAAGGAAGCAATAGGATTTCGCGGACGAAGTTAGACCGAGTCTAGGGCTGATCCAGACTACGGGTGTA